AACTCCAGGCCTCGAGGGCCGGTGTCCCTGCAGGTTTTAGATGTGTCCTTGAACCAACACAGCTGATTTAAATGGCTAAATTAGCTCCTGCAGTTCTCCAGAGGTCTGGTAACGAACTAATCATGTGATTCAGGTGTGTTGACCCAAGGTGAGATCTAAAACCTGCAGGACACCGGCCCTCAGGGCCTGGAATTGCACACCCCTGATCTAGACTGAAACTGTAAGGCATATTGAAATAACTGAAGTGACGTGTTCTCCTCTGACAGGTGCTGCTACTGTATTTTTGTGGTTTCTCACAGGAAAACTCAGGTTATATCGAGAAAGGGGAAGACTGTCGGGGGACAGCTTTCAGCTCTGGAAAACATTTACAGCATGCACTGACTTAGGAAAGTCAACACCATCTGCAAGGACCAAGCACACCCATGCACAGCCAATTTGAACTTCTCTCATCCAGCAAACTAGAGCAACCTTTCACACATAGACCTTGAAGCTCTGAATTACGAGCCAAGAGCCATAAACAGGTTTAACTAGTCTATCAAATGTCCGCATAACGACTGTTTGGACACAGTTTTAACTACCACACTGCAAACCTGCACTGCAACCATATTATTGCATTACCTGAGTCATTTTGAAACCATTTGCAATTTGCACTGTATTCATATTTTTTATTGTTTTATTAAATTACTATTTTTTTTACTAGGAAAATGATTTTATTATATGGAAAACTTGCACAGTGTAAAGTCATTGACTGCGCTGTGAAAATACGGTTTTGGACATTTGTGAACAACAAGAATGAGAGAATCATAAACATTAAAATTACTCACGGTGACTTAATGACCTCAGATTTTCCCCTCAAAGGTTAATCAGGTAGAGACTATATAAAAACAGCATGAGCTGCACCAAGTTTAGTGGTTTACACATTTGCCTGGTGATCCCAGATTGCAACAGAAAGGACATCTAGTGTAAAAAATCTGGTAATCAAACATGCAGAGCTACCTGCTGGGCTGTTTGATTTGGAGGGGGGGGGATTGGCCCTTTTAAGACTACATGTTTCCCAGCATATATTCACAAATGCCCATTGATTGTTAAAGGAAAAAGAAAACAAACAATCAAAATTCTCAAGAACATATCAGGAATGCATCCAAATCCAGATATCTTTCTGTTTCAAGTGTTCTTAATTCGTGCCTGTTGTGGAGGGAATTTCAGGCCCTGGAAGAGGTTTGCAGTTTCAGACCACCGCTGTTCAAAACGGTGATGCTTCTCATTATCTGTGTCCACAGCTGTGAACGGGGCAGTTTTCAGAACTTCACTTGGTTTGGTGTGAGATTTAGTAAAAAAAAAAAAAAAAAAATTGGAATGGTATCAAAAGAGTGAGAGACATTTTTCTGAACAAAGCAGAACTAGATAATAGTTAAATAGTAATAAAATAATTGTAATCTAGATAAATATGACTCAAAGGTTTATAGAATTTGGTTAAATCAGCCAAATCCATTAAAAATGTATATAAAGTCCTTATTAAGTTGTTATAATTGAAGAGCCTTACAGTTTTCTTCTAATTTTCTACATTGTCTTGTATAGAAATAAACGACTTCAACAATTTGCATTATAATTTAACTATATGAAAAAAAAAAGATTTCTGTAAAGTCCAGAGAGCTGCGTCTTTCCAACAAAATCACTCCACGAACTCCCTGTATTTTGATATTTGGTACAATTTCCAGTTGAATAGCTTTTGAATTATTTCTTGTCTAAACATGTGGGAGCAGGTACATCTGAGGTGTCACTGAGCAGTCCTTTGTTGTAATGCAAACATAAAAGTTGAAGAAGCAAGAAAGGGAACTAGTGCCATGATTTCCTGTAACTGAAGCCTCATGCTGCTTTTGACTTTATTTGAACCTGAACATGTGATTGTGCAGGTGTTACAAAATGTAGCGCAAACAATATGGCCTCGGTTATCTTCTACAGCAGTCAGTGAAATAATAATGCACATCTTCATGAAAAAAACCCCCACACTACTCTGCACGAATTAGTGACCAGGAACTGGTTGTCCCACCCATGACAGCAAGAACTGTAATCATGCATTTGTGATGACTGCCGTTGAGTCTTTCACATCACTGTGGAGGAATTTTCTTCCACTC